TTTTACCATCAGTTTCATTTTTAAATAACTGCAGATGACAAATAAAACAAGTTATAGCCAGTTAAGGATTTAACAAGCATATACAAATGACGTACTGCAAAAATGACAATTTAGATTTTTTTTATGCTTTATTAGATTGTTTATTTTTTGGGTTTACAATAAGCACACACCTTGTGTGTGTGCGTGTTTGTGCGTGTGTGTGTGTGTGTGTGTGTAAGGTAAGCTACTTCCAGTGGGCAGAAGGCTTGGCATGTATATAGCATGTAAGTATGTTTAATTTGAAAATTTACTTGATAAAGTGCCTTGAGATTACTCCACTTTTTATTTGTTGCTATATAGAATAGAAAAGAATTATCCCACAAATGGGAAATTCCTTTAAATAAATTGAATAAAATTGTAATAGTTTTTTATTACAAACACATTTTTGTTTTAATGCATTAAAGGGATACTATACAACTTTTTCATATTTTTAAATCATTTTCTTGAGCCAGTACGTGCTAAAATGATCCATTACATGGTTAATGAAAGGCAATGCAGCTACTATAGCCCCCTGTGGCTAGAATATTCCACTTGCAACTTCAGACTAGTGGGCCGCTCTGTTGGGACTTTGAAAAAAATTGAGCTGACATAACTGGTGCTGCAGTCTGGTTTCAGCACCTTTCCTGCATGTTTTAGATAATGAACATAGCTGATTTGTTTGATTTGGTGATGAATCACTCCTGTCGACATTAAGGAAGGCTGGGGAGACATTTCAGCTGTTGGATTAAGGTGTTAAAAAGACAAACACACAGCAAGGAGTTGGGTTTTGCTTTTGGTTCTACAAACGGACACTAGTGGGTGCTAAAAGCAGGCCAAAACTGCCTAGTTCCCAGCCCCATGCTTCTCTGCAAATTCGAAATTTCTCAAAGCAAACCGGGTGGTTATGATCAAACTAGAGGTGATAAAAGCAGGTAATTCTGGGAAATGTGTCCTGTGTTCCGTTAGCACTGACTTGTGCACAAGGAACTTTGTTGTTCCTGTTGCTGTGTCACAATCAAACCACTACTACAAGGTTGTCTGAGATGCAGCACTGACGTCCAACCAGTGGAGACATTTTTGGGAGACCGAAGGGAGACTTGACATCAATGAAGTCGAGTCAGGTCTCGTGAACCTCAAAGGGAGCGCTTGAATTCACCTTTTGTTCGTCCCTAAACGAGACGCTGGGGAGACTGCGGCAATCTGCTCAGCAGATCTCAAAGGGAGGCAGAGCCACACTTGGATTTAAGTAATGCGGTGTTCCTTGTTGAACAAATTCACCATTGTGACTGGTTAGCCTGATACTATCCACATACCTGCTTTTGGGGAATGCATGTGAAAAGGTGGTCTGGACTCACTGCCAAGAGGAGGGATGGAGCGGTGAGGAGGAAGGAGGGGTTCTACTTAATGGGTCACAAATTCACATTGAGAGGAGCCACATCTGCATTTTATCAACAGGGCCCAGATAGTGTTACAGGGGACGATTGTCTGCAGATTGGCCATTGGGCCGTTTAAAGTGGTAAATTGTTGAGCAAAAGCAGAACCGCACACAGGATGACGTAGCGTGGTGCCGGCTGCCACTCACAGAAGCCATCAGGTTAACACTACTGAGAAAGACCTGATGATAGTGGGGATTTATCTGATTGCTCTGGATCATCTTCATTTATCAAATGAACTCTCCTCAGAAAGGCTCCTTGTGTTTGTGAGCTCATTTGTTCACTTACTGTACTCAGAGAGCATTTGATCATCTCGCATTTGAACAATTCAACAAGTCAACTTCCTTATTTTTCACATTTCCTCCTTTCAACATCAAACACATCAGTGGTAATTTGGCAGAAAGCTGTTATCTGCTCAGACATGCTCTCTTCCCATGGCTGACCCAGAACATCGTCTGACACATCTTCTCCACAGGGAGTTGTGGACGTGGGGGCCGGCATGGTCTAACAGCAAAACAAGCCCCACAAGACGTTGGCGTCCCTCCTCGGGGACCTCTTGTCTCTTCCCTCTGCTTCATTACCATCTTCCCCTTTCTCTCTCCCCTTTCATCTGCAGTCTATCACTAGCTCCAAGCTGCTCTCATCCGGGAATATGGTGACTAAGGGTGGGAGGTTGCAGACAGAGCAAGAGCGGATATGGGAAAAGGCAGAGTAAACATTTCAAAGAGAGGGTTTTCATTTTGGTTTTGATGCTTTTTTTAAACAATAAACTGAGCCCACAGAAAGGTCTCCAACATGATGGTTGTGACAAGGTCACTTTAAACAGGATTTTAATAGACACAAACATAAAGATGAACTCAACAATTACATTTTACTGACATAAACAGAGACCATCACAGGATGTTTTTGGGTAAAAACATGTGGCTCATCATCCACTTGGAGAGTTTGATTTTCAGCTTTCTGAAGATCATTTCTCGTCACTCACATAAAGCGCCTCCACTGGTCTTCTTCCCTGATTTTTATAGTTTCCTGTATGACAGCTCAACCTTGTAACCAAATCAGTCATCTAGCTGCAAAACTCAGCTGCACAAAAGTGACAAGATAAAGCCCTTCCATTTGTCTTCAAAGGAGAGAGGCCAATAAAGATGTTCAGACAAATCTCTCCACTTTATCTTAATTGTCAGAGAAAATGGGAGGGATAGCCATTCCACTTTATGGTCACCTATTTTCACTCTAATGGTGTTTATGAAAACATAGGAATGGACAAATTAGGGAAGATGGAATAGATAACGTGCGCTCACACACACACACACACACACACACACACACACACACACACACACACACACACACACACACACACACACACACACACACACACACACACACACACACACACACACACACACACACACACTGGCTGAAGTTTTTACTCAAATGCGAAAAAATCACTTTATTATTTTTTGTTGTTTTGTTTATCTCCACAATGTATTTGTAGCTGTCCTTTGTTAGACCATTGTTAAGAAGCATGACAAAAACATTTTAAGCTAGCTTGTTTTGCAGATTTGCCACCGTAGCTTTAATAAAAAGTTAATAAATTAAGCCCTGTGGGCACCAAGGCAATGGGAGAAGTATATTTTGTCGACATTTCACGTGTTTAATCGCCTTTGAGCAGCTGTGGAATGAACAACTAAACTACTAACTGAGCCTAAACCCTCTGAAGGAAACTAAACTCCTCAAGCTACATGAAAAACTAACTTCATTTAATTTAAACTAAAAGTGACAAAGCTAGCTCATCTGGAACTAAACTAAAATGAAACCAAGTCAAAACTAAACTAAACTCTGTTTCTTTGAATTCATCTGAGTTTAAAATTTTGAACTAAAACTAGCCTAACCTAGCCAAATGATTATGACCAGTGACCTTTTAGTTTGACCTTTGGTTTGATTACTGAACAGACGTTTGAATGTTGGTTTAACAGAATGTCTTCTCTCTTTCTCTAGTTAGGTTGGGTGGTATGGAAGCTCGTATTGTTTCAGGATCTTTGTCCTGAACTATAATTTCTGTATTGTACAATGGCTGCACAACATCGTAAATGTATTGTTATTGCGATATCAGCATGCATAATATGCATATCGCAAAGAACAGAAAAAACGGCAATAAATGGTCTGCTCGGGTGTTTGCTACACAAAATACATTTTGTGTAGCAAACGGAAGCATGAATATTAATGACTGTTATTGCAAATTGCAGGTTTTCCTCATATCATGCAGCCCTATATTACACACAATTCTGCCAGAAAATCACAAAGACTAACATTCATTTTCAGAGTTTACAATATAAATATGTTTATCCTACTCACCTGTTTATAGTTAACCTATTCAGATGAAGTTTGTAATGTTTTGCATTTGTTTCATATTTTAGCTGGCAAACAAACTGTAGAGAAAACGTTTGTTTTTATGTTTTACGTATTTATTTAACATTTTCATCAATTTTCAGTTGTTGACATTTGTATTTCACATGTAAAAATGCACCTGGCTTTTCTTTTGCTAATAATTATCAGTCATTTTTATCTTATTGTTTTCACTTCACATGTAACAATTCATTTTAATGTAAAGCAAAATGTTCCGTTCTTATCACTGTCTCATAATAAAATCCATTCTCATTGAAAAGGCTCTCACACACACGGGGAATATCCACAGATTCAAGGACCAGATATATAAAATCCCATTCAGTCGTGTCAAACATTAAGCATCTGAGGCTAATTTATTGTTTTCTCGTTTATTGGGGGCAGCTTGAAAAAACACTTTCCCAGGATTCCTCGCTGATGTTCAGACTCACAGTTTTTTCAAGTGCACTCAGATCATTTCTCATAAAAACACATTTATAATAAAATTTATGCAGAAAACATCCCCTTTGATCATGTTTTTCTCCTACAGCTCTCGACTTTCACATGCCCACACTGCCTGGCTGGAAGCAGCCTTATCGGCAGACTCTCATGCGCCCCCAGACTCCACTAATCAAGACAAACTCCAGCGCTCACCCCCCCTCCAGAAAACCCACCCTATCATAACCTCCTCTGATTCCTACCACCACCCTCCTCCCTCCACCGTGCCTCATTCCCTCCTTCTTGGCCTTCTGCGGCTGCTGGGCCGCACAGGGTCCTGCTGTAATTGGTTTAGACATAATTTACTGCCCACTTGGTAATGTAGCATTTCAGCATCTGATAAAAATCATATCAAGTCGCAGTGTTGGCCGCTACGGTTTGAAAGGGACTCATTGTAATCATTTAGATACCAGAAGAGGTTCCTGTTCTCTTTCACTCAGCTTCACTCTCTCACTCCCCCCCACCACCTCCATCTCTGGATGCTGTTTCTTTGCAGGACGACTAAGACATGAACTGATGTATTCACATTCACGTACATTTTACCCAGAAGTTTAACTCCCTGCTGACATTTCTCTCTTTCCTTTTCACTGCAGCCTATGTTCAAGGGTCAGGACAAAGTACCATAAACCATCATTGAGGTTGCTGTAACTCGCTCAACTTCTCACGATGATATTCTTGTTTATCTTTATTCCTTTGAAACAAGATGTGGAGATGGAAAGAAACAAGAAAAGGTTGGAGAGAAACAAGATTTCTCAGGTAAAAAGGAAAAAAAAAACAGAAATTTTGACAGAAAAAAGGTTAAATTAGTATCCTTTTTAGGGAGATCATATGGGAATACATGTAGATGTGTTTGTAACTGAGAAGACACATTTACTTTGATAAGATTAATCCTTTTTTACCCCTAAACTACTCTTCCAACTGTGTTCATGTCTGACACAGTCTCTATTTCAATCCCATTTATACTAGTAGATCAATTTTTTCCCTGTAATTCCCAAGGAAGATTTATTTAAATTTAAAGATAATTTATTATTGTCCATCCATAATTTAAGTTTCAGTTGTTCATTATTTATGTAATATACTAAGTGATTATAACTATCACTTGAAAAACATATAATGGTGTCATCCGCAAGCAGAATCATTTTAATAACTTGGAAACACTAAATATGTCATTTACATAATTTGAACAACTTTAGACTCAATACAGATCCCTGTGGGACCCCACAAATAATAGCCAAACCATCTGATCTAAACTCACCCAACTGTACATACTGTTGTCTCTCTGTCAAGTAACTTAAGATCCAGCTCAAAACCATTCCCCTAATACCATATATTTCTAGTTTTTGTAATAATGTTTTATGATCAAGAGTATCAAATGTTTTTTAAGGTCAATAAATATTCCAGTTGCACATTACTTTTATCTAAATTATTAGTAATCTTTTCCACTGCATAATAGCCATTGATGACGACCTGAAATCGTATTGACTTTCATTCATAATATTGTGTTTATCTGTACATTTTTTACCAGTCTATTATTCAAAAGTTTTGGACCAATTGCAGCTCATTCAATGCTGCCTGACTCAAACCAACATACAGTGTGTTACAATAGTCCAGTCTTGACAATACAAATGCATGTAGCATTGACTCAAGAAGATGTCTTGACAGCATGGTCTTGATTTTGGCTAGCTATCGCAAGTGAAAGAAACAGGACCTCACCATCATCTTAAAATGGGTTTCGAATTTAAGATCTGAGTCGCACCCCCAGCCTGGTGACTACCGACTTCTGATATTGTGACAGAGCATCCAAATTCATAGCAGGACCTCCACCTGCCTTGTTGGTCGGGTAGAAGGTGATGAGTTCAGTCTTCTCATCATTTACGTGGAGATAATTTGTGGCAAGCCAGGACTTGACCTCATCTAGACATGTCAGTAGAATCTCCCGTCCTCTGACATAATGGAAAGTAAATTTGGCAGTCATCCGCAAATAGATTAAACCTAACACCATGTCTGCGGAAGACAGCCCCCAAAAGGAGTAAATAAAGGGCAAAAAGGATTGTCCCCAGGACTGAACCCTGCAGTACCGCCAAATACTGCTCCTCCCAGGGAGACAAGGCCTCACCTACCATCACACAAACTTCCTTTCCTGAAGATATGATCTTAGCCATTGAAGTCCCGACCCAGTGATCCGCACCTTGTGCTCCAAGCAATCGAGGAGATTTAATTAACAAATCATGTCAAATGCAGCTGTTAAATCCAAAAACAGGAACACCATGGCTGCACCCTGGTCTAAGGCCATAAAGATGTTATTCAGTACCATCAACGTGTCCAGCCCTAAATCCTGATTGAAATATTTCAAATGTTTCAAATTCATTGAGATATGACACCAACTGCTGGTAGACAATTTTCTCCAGCAGCTTGCTGATGAAATGAAGCTTAGAAATGGGACTGTAGCCAATTCTTACACATCAGATCTTTGCTTTTTCAGTAACGGCTGTACCATCATTGCTTTCAACAATGATGGAACTACATTTGTGCTCAAGCTACCATTTATAATGGATAATATAAATGGGCTCAATGAAGAAAATGCCTCTTTACAGAGACGAGGAGGGACTACATCAAGGGGAGAGCCAGCCTTCTTTTGATTTTAGTATCCAACTCAGTTATGGATACTAAGTGAAAACTGGTCAATGTAGCTCAGGGCGGGTATGGTAGCACGGGTTCTGAAACAAAACCTGTAAACAAAGCTCTAATAGCAGAAACCTTGTCAACATACAACGTATGAAAATCATTGGAATTGCCAGCCGCAGGAGTTGGACCAGGCGTCTGATGTTCCAACACAGAATTCAACGTATTGAAGAGAAACTTTGGATTATGTGAGTTTTCTGCAATGATATCGGCAAAATACCTGATCCTAGCTGTGTTCGCAGCATCATGATATGCGGCTAAGGATTACCTAAATATCTCATAGGAGACTTGCAAACCATCCCTCTTCCACTTTCTTTCCGCAGATCTACATGTTCATTTGCAAGTCCTGCTAACATCAGTGAGCCAAGACTCCTTTGCAAGTTTAGGGTTCCTAATCTTAGAGGGAGCAATCACATCCAATATATTTTTACAGGGCAGATCAAATTGATTTAAAAATTCCTCAGTGTTCTGAGACATTAGTTTAGGTCTGTCCTCTTCTTGAGATAAAACCTTTACAAACTCAGCAACCCTCAGTATTTAAAACACGGCTGCTTTTAGCCTCGGCATTCCTCACAACAGTAGGGCAGGGCAAATTAAAATCACACAAAACTGGTGAGTGATCAGAAAAGTCAGCATTATATTTCAGTGGGCAATACGGTATATCACCCCAAAGAGCAGCTCAAAGGACAAAGGACGTTGACAGAATGATCTGCCTACAGTTGAAAAAGGATTTACAATGACCAGACCTCCACGTCTGCCTGACGATCAAGAAACATGAAAACAATCACAATCCACAGGCACCTGTTCCAACAGAGCACTCGAGTCACCTGGAGTGATCCAACTTATACAGGTGCACATAAAACTTAGTGAATGTTCAGTAAAAAAAAGTCATTAAGGATTAAAGTTTTATTTAGTACAGACTTGGCATTCACCAGTGGCATTGTTGGTTTAACATCCAGGAAACAGCATAGAACCTTTCGGCTAGTAGAAGTTAACCGCTAGCATTAGCGAGTCCCCCACATCACAGAGCTCCTTCAGGCTTTTGTTATTTGTGGAGATAAAACATCCAGATTGCAGAGCAAACAGATCCAGTGGTTGTTGTGTTGCTGTTAGCCAATCAGACATGAAATGTCCAAATATCAGGAAATAAGACTCCATATCCAGCTGTCTGAAGCTACTTTCTCCTCTGAGTGAAAGCAGTTTATAGCAGGATCAAGTACAAGACCTTCGATCCTACCACTGGTAAAACATTAACAAGTTCCTCGTGATTTTTATATTAAGAGGTGATCTTTAAAATATAGTTTCTTCTTCTTAAAATGTGATTAAAAGTCATCTTTAAATATAACTTAAATTTTGTATAAATTTGATTTAAACTTTTTTCTATTCTTCACAATCAAAAGTTAACAGCATATTAATAAAATTCATGGAAGTGAATTTTGGGTTTGGTTAGATGTAGAAGAACTTTCCCTCCAGGCTTGTGAGAATGGAAAAGAGACCTCTGAAGCAATCAATCCCATAGTAAAAATTATTACCCCTCAGCAACCTAATGCTTACAGCATACGTCAAACATTGGTGTTATATTCTTCTCAGTGAGGTGAAATATCTAAAATATTGGTGTTTTACAATCATCAGATTAATTACTTTTAAAGCCTATTACCATTTTTGTTTATTAGAATGAATGATTAAGATCAAAACCTCCTACCCACCCACTGAGCTGAAAAGAGAAAAAAATCCTCCCTTGTTGAGATGGAAAATTAAAGGACCCTGTTCCTACTCTCAGGTTCTGAAGGAGATCGCTATAAGTGCACAATTTGCCGTGTGTTTTATGAGCGGCACTAAATCTGGGTTTTATCAGTGCTGGGGGAAAATTCCAGCACTCTTCTTTGGGTGTCATTAACATTTGCAGCAATCACCCCACGAGTCCATCTGCTCGCTTCAGGACTCATCTGCTCTTTGCATGAGCACACAAAGGAAGAGGGCACACAGCTTTAAAAAAAAAAAGAAAGAAAAGAAAAGAAGATGCTATCTAAACACTAAACAGTCCTCGTGAACACAGAAATGTCCAGATAAGGGGAGCAGACAGTAATCACAGAGAGAGCCGGAGTGACGGGCTCCATCCAACATTTCACTGTCTCTGTTAAACTTGTTTGTTAGACTCCAGGTACTTAGATGTCAGCAGATATTTTAATTTAATGCCATTATGCTTGTGCAATAAAATGTGCAATAAGAAGAATATAAAGGTGCCATAAAATATAAATTATATATAGGAATGTGTTGAAAAGTGAAACAGATTTAACAGAAAAAAGTTGTTTTCACAATTTGTGTCAAGAGTAATCCCTTACAGTGAGTAATCAGATTACATGTAATCAGTATTATTGAGTCCATTGTAGGCTATTCACCTTCTACATATTTCAAAAGGAAAGCCAAAGATCCTCCTGCACACATCCATGGCGTTTTTCAAGCTTTTAATTTCTATCCAAGCAGATTTAAGCCCTTTATAGGCCACATTACAACTGGCTCAGCTCAAAACTATAAACCTTAACTAGATTATTCTAAACTAATAGTAGAGTCATTAAAACATAGTTTGTGAGTTGTGAAACCATTATTTGATTTGTTAGAGTTAAAAAGGGCAAATTTCAGTCAGTTTCAGTTCAGTTAACACTTGGACTCTTCAAAACATTGTTGAAATTTACCTTTCCAAATTGGAAACTGAAAAAGGGAACTGACTTCAGTTTTGCACAAAACAAACAACATAAAATTAAATAAATAAATAAAGTAAGACATAAATAAATAAAGAAAGAATACACCAAAGATTTAGTCAAATGACTAAGAAAGTAAAAATTGCATTCAAATGACTTCTAAGTAATGCATATAGATTAGGGTGTGTGTGTGTGTGTGTGTGTGTGTGTGTGTGTGTGTGTGTGTCAGAGATCTCCACATCAACACACACTTTAAAAAAGCTTGCGGGGAAGAGGTAAGGGGAAAAAAGTAACCTCTCTCACCTGTACTTTTTGTATTTGTAAAGTCAATAAATATATTTATATTAAACATAAAAAAAAAGCTTGCTACCCCCAGAGCAGCGCATCTACTCTGGGAATTTGATTATTGTTGTTGTTGTTGTTGTTGTTGTTGTTGTTATTGTTATTACTATTATTGTTGTTATTGTTATTGTTATTATTATTATTATTATAAAATATAATAATAATAATAATAGTAATAATAATAATAATATTTTTATTATTATGCAATATGTTTTAGTTTTGCGATTCAAGTACTAACTTTCTATCACAGCAATGTTCCACTTTTAAACATAAATCAACTAAAATGAGACAAACCCTTGATTTTTACACCTGACAGACAGAATTCTCTGAAATCGGCAGCCCCCTGGTCCAGCCTCACTGACCTGCATGAAGCATCACTCCTGAAACTGTTTAAAATATCTCAAAACTTCAAACTCAACCACCAAATTCTGAACAGGAGATCGTCATCCATGCTTTTCTCTCATCTGCTTTAGATTTTTGTAACAACATTAGTTTCTGTTTGCATAAAGAGGAGCTCACCATCTCTGATCAGTACAGAATAGCTGCTTTTAGAGCTTTGTGCCTTCAGGCTCTAGCATCTCTGATCTTTTTAGACCTCCATACTCCCTCGTCAGAGATCTTCTAGTCAAAGGCCGTTCGGCCCTCAGGTGATGTTGCCTTATTTAAACAAAAACAACCAAAGGTCTGGTTTGTGCATTATGATTTAATGTCTATTTTAATGTTGTATGTTTGTTTTTCAGCCATTTTGTTGAATCATGTTTTACACATGTTGGTTTTACTGTGAAGCACTTTGTGGTTCTTAGTCCTGTAAAGATGTTTACTTAGTTACTGAGCTTATTTTGATTACAAAGCAAATTTGAATCGAAGAAGGAAGAACCATCCCAGACCGTGTCATTTTTCTACTGAATCTTGGCACATTTTCAGCTCTGAACATGTCAGAACAATAAACAAACAATATGGAGTCCACTCTGTCAGCAACTTCATGGAAACAGATTACAATGTTTAAAAATAGAAAAACAATTTTTACCTTTTCTTGATACAAATTTTAAAAAGAAGCCCTCATTAAGGGACTGTCCTCACAAGTTTACCTGCTCACGAGTCGAGACGTCATCATTTTTCTTTTACTTGGCTTGCAGCGGCTTGATTTAGGAAAGAAAAAAAATGTGTTCACTGAGTAAATTGCCAGAAATTTCCAGAACTATCTGGCTGCAGACATCAGATGGTGTCTACCGGAAATGACGTAACCGGAAAAACAAGACACCGGGTCATCACCTTCGCCAAAGTCACTACCTTTGCAGGAAGTAGTTTGGATTTGATGAGAAAAAACATACTGTATCGTTTTTCTCTTAGATATGTATATATAAACATATACATATCTAAGAGAAAAACGATACGGTGGGTCATTACCTTAACCAGAAGTCATTACTTTCACAGGAAGTAGTTTTTTTAAACAAAACTTACCGGAAAAAACTTTTTTTTATTTCAGATTTTTTTCTCTTCAAATTTGGACAGGCGAAATTTTAAATAACATCATTACCTACGTTGCATGAAAATTGAATAGTAAACCCCTTTGTCCTTCAGACAGGGACTTTTTATGACAGTAGCACATATATGTATAATAATTACAACAATAAAAGACTGTAGTGAATAAAAAAACATATATGGAATAAATGAGAACACATTAAACTAAGACTTTTCAAGATGTGCAAACAAAATAGTACTTGCTTCAGTTTTATTGTTAAAACCCAAGATGAACTTTTGACCTACACCAATTGCTAAAGTACGGGACATTACTGTCCTCATTCTCTGCCAGCATCACCGATGCAAATAAAGCTTTCTACACTGACAAAATTCTCAGCTCTACAGACTCTCAGAAACTATTATCAACATTCAAAACTCTGCTCAACCCTCCATCTCCACCTCCTACCAACAATCTATCAGCTGACACCTTTGCCTCATTCTTCACTAACAAAGTGGCAGCTATAAGCAAACAGTTTACTCAACTGGCCACTCCTGAACATTCACTACCACAAACTCCTTCTAGCCCAACCATCTCAAGCCCTACTGCTTCATTTTCCTCTTTTTCCCCTCTCACTGAGAACTGTGTGTCCAAGCTTCTCGTGCAGCCGCCCTACTACATGCCCACTTGACCCCATTCCGACTAAGCTGCTCCAAGCTATTGCTCCTACAGTAGCTGCAGCAGTCACACGTGTGATCAACGCATCACTGACATCCGGTACATTTCCCACCTCTCTCAAGCATGCTCAGGTTAAACCGCTGCAAAAAAAACATCTCTTCCTCCAAATCATGTGGAGAACTACCAACCTATCTCTCTCCTCCCTTTTCTGTCCAAAATCATTGAAAGGGTAGCTTTCAAGCAGATCACAGAATACCTCTCACAAAACTGTCTGCTTGACCCATACCAATCTGGGTTCAAAAAGGGCCACTCCACTGAAACTGCTCTGTTAGCAGTGATGGAATCCTTAAAAGAAGCTAGAGCGACAGGCAAATCCTCAGTGCTTATCCTGCTCGACTTATCGGCTGCATTTGACACTGTCAACCATGGCTTCCTTTTGTCCACACTCTCTAGCATGGACATCACAGAAAAAGCACACACCTGGTTTGAATCGTACCTCACAGGATGATCATTCAGTGTATCTTGGCTTGGACAATCCTCTACCGTGCACCATCTTGCCACAGGAGTCCCCCAGGGCTCTGTACTAGGACCTCTTGTCTTTGCCATATACACCACCTCACTGGGTGAGATCATTCGATCACATGGCTTCTCCTACCACTGCTATGCAGACGACACCCAGCTCAATCTGTCATTTCCACCGGACGACCACACTGTCTCTGCACGAATATCAAACTGTCTCTCTGACATATCAAAATGGATGAAATTCCACCATCTCCAACTCAACCTCTCTAAAACTGAATTACTAGTCATTCCAGCAAAACCATCCATACAGCACAATATCTCAATCCAAAATGACTTCCTGTCTCTGGCTCCTTCAAAGGCAGTTCGGAATCTGGATGTTGTGATTGATGAACACCTGACCTTTAAAGATCGTGTTACCTCTGTTGCTCGTTCATGCCGCTTTGCGCTGTATAACATACGAAAGATCAGACCATACCTAACACAACATGCCACCCAGCTCCTGGTGCAATCTACTGTCATCTCCCGCCTCGATTACTGCAATGCCCTTCTTACTGGTCTTCCAGTCTGTACTGTGAGACCTCTTCAAATGGTCCAGAACGCAGCGGCACGTCTGGTCTTCAATCAGCCTAAAAGAGCACACGTCACCCCTCTGTTCATTGAGCTCCACTGGCTACCGCTAGCAGCACGCATCAAATTCAAATTGCTAACACTAGCATACAAAGTCCAAGGTGGTACGGCTCCCATCTACCTGAATCCTCTTGTAAAGGCTTACGTCTCGGCCCGGCCGCTCCGGTCATCACAGGATCGTCGGCTAGCAGTGCCTACACCACGCTCAGGACAATCCAGACTCTTCTCATGCATTGTTCCACAAATGTGGAATGACCTACCAAGCACTACCAGAACAGGGGCTTCCTTTTCAATTTTCAAGAAACTCCTGAAGACCCTGCTCTTTAGAGAGCATCTTCTAAACTTGCACTCTCCCTGCACCCGTCCCCCCTCTCTACTGTCCACTCCTTGTTCCCTCCTCTCCATGATTGATGTCAATGTTGTTGTTGTTATTGTTGTTGTTAGCCTCAAGGGCAACATACCAATTATCACTTGTAAGTCGCTTTGGACAAAAGCGTCTGTTAAATACATAAACATAAACACCCAGAAGCAGTGAAAAACATTTCAGCAACACTCCTCTCTCACCAGCAACAATAATTTGCTACAAAATATCCATAACACTCTATATGTGTATCACAGCAGCTCATTGCAACAGAATTTAACTACTGCAGCTGATAACTATTTAGCTAGTTAGTATTTCTGTATTATTTTGAGTGAAATACAATAAAACAAAAGAAACACTTAATTTCACAACCATTTTATTTTGGGTAAAAATAAATTCGCTGAAGCATGGCTTTCTCAGCAGCATATCGATTCATCCCCTCCCATTTTTCCAACACTTTGTCACCTGAAAAACATGCACACAAGGATTAATTAATATACTGTCAAATGTTTTCGAAAGCCGTACATATTCAAAAAGCCATACAAGGTTGTAATACATGTTGAGTTTCATTTCTGCTATTTCAGAATGTTTGTTCATGGACAGTTATATTTTCTATTCATACATTTCTGAAGCAAAATCAATTCCTTTTTTAGTTTTTATTTGTTATTACGCACTTTTTTTCAGTCATTTAAACACAATAATTTAAAACTATTTAGATATTGAAAGCTAAGCTTGTCCAGAAAAAAAATACATTTTTGGGCGCGCAGGACCAGTTCTAGCATGGACCAGATACTTAAAAAATGCATAAATCTGTATTTTTTGAAGTTTCACAAATCAGAAAAAGGTTTAACAAATCACAAACTATGTTTCATGCATTCTGCTATGAGCCTAGAATCATCTAGAACAGGTTTGAAGAGTGTATGTATTGTAGTTTTTGACCTAGAGCAGATTAAAAATGGTCAGAGTAGAGAAAAATTGGGTGTATTAGCCCTTTAGCCATTTCCCCGAATCCGAAGCTGGAATCAGAAGCTAACTTCAGCCTCTTATGAAAACTAGTGATTGAAACCACTTACAAATGTCTGAAAATCTAAGTTTTTTAATTAAAAAAAGGTTATTAATAACGTTTCAGTCAAGTCAGTATTAGAAATCGTGGTCTTTATATCATATCTCAATTGTATCTAAAGTTAATATTACTTTAACTGTTTTAACAAACAGGGAGATCAGAAAAATCAAATAGCTAAGTTAAAGCTAAGCTACAATTGCTGATTGTTTTAATGTTGCAGCTTTAGTGTTAGATCGTGAACTCCCTGCATTAGTTTTTGCATGTTAATATTGATACAATTAGCTATGAAGCATGGTGCCTTTGCAATAATTCTCTGGTAAAGCTTTAAATGCTGTAGTGCCTACATTTAAGAACTAAGAATGGTTACAAACATTAGTTAATTTCATCCTTACCTTTTCTCATTGAAACCCGCCGAGTATGGTTGAAAAAATAACCCACAAAAACAATGTAGCGGCCGCCAAAAAAGACCAACTTCCGGCCGAGGTCTTTCACCCGACGATTTTCCGGTAAAAGTAATGACACGCCATCTTGTTCTCACTTGAAAGTTTTTTTACAGTGACACACCAGCTGATGTCTGCAGCCAGGTCCTACTCGAAATTTAATCTCTCCTGAATCTTACTTTGCTGTATCTTTTGTCCTTCAGAATAAAAATATAATTTACAAAGCCAATTTGTGTGGCAGGAGCAATCCTGTTCAAGAGATGAACTTTTAAAGTGTCTCAACCATTACAGGAGCTTTAGAGGTTCCTTTACAGACTCTAATGGGAACGTTTTATGTCTTCACTCACCAGCTTTAATCCACACTTCAAGCTGGAAGTTACCACAAACCACCACCCATTCTACTGGACCTGTCGTTGTGGGACGTTGCCTGAAAGGCTGCTGGGGTGTTTGAGTGAACACCAGCGGTGCGTGAGCAGAGACCTCTCATTCGATGAGCTGGATCGAGCGTCAGCTGAGGTTAACTGTCCTGTCTGTTTGGAGTTTGCGTGCCGCAGAGAAGCTGATCACGATGCTGCAAATCTCCGAGACCACAGGGCTGCCATCCAAGGGTGAACCATTAGTACTCATTGTGAAAAGAGAGTTTTTAAGTGCCCAGTAAATCAAAGGCAGGCTTATATTTCCTAAGGAGGGAAGACTTGGAAGTAAATAGGTGGTTTTGCTCTCCAGTCCAAAGTAAATAAGATAGAAAACTGCTTCCATCCACTTTGGAGCTCAGTCGTCTGGGTTCTATTTGCACCAAGAGCTATTAGCCATCTTGCACCATCACATGAATTACCGTATGCAGAGATGAAAGGTGTTGCATGCATAAAAAAAAGAAAACCTTGAAGTCTTGTTTAGTTGAATTAACAGAAACGGGGGTTATCAATGCATGTGGTTATCTGGTGAAATGCCAAACCTTTAACAACTTAATAACGTGCACAAAAAGGGCAAAAGTAAGGCAGAACATGTTGGGATTGCAAAAAAAGTGCAATCTGTTCACTTGATTGCTGGAGGACTGGAAACAATTTCAGAAACCAAGCAGCAAGTTAAGTGTTTTATATCGCTTTGGTTCATTTCTGGGATTAATAACGTATTACTGAATTGAATTGAATTGAATTGAATTTAACGCCGCTCTTGGAAATCAGATGAGGTGTCACAAGCAGACAGGGTAGTTATGCATTGATCCCATCAAAACTGTGTAATGAAACAATTAATACATAGTTCTGCCTCTTACCTCCTGCATTCGGTGGAAAGTTGCCAAGCTTTTACAATCCCCTCACGTGCATTACTCAGCTCTGCGGTCCTGACATCATCGGTTTCACTCGCATGGACTCTCAGGGTCGCTCTCTTCACTCAAGAGTGTGCACTTGATAAGACCTACAACCACTTGAGAAGCTTTTGGGTAGTTTTCAGCATCTGTCAGGCGTCAAGTGCAGCCCTTTGGCTTCAAACCCCAAAAGTCTTCTCTGCTGCTCTCTTCCCCAAAAAATTGCTCTAATGTCAACTCACGGGAGATTAACTGCAGACCAATAACACGCAATTAGATTTATTTTCTCCTCCTAAGCCTATTAGACCTCAGCCAAGCAGTCAGTGGTCTCGCTTTAGCAGAATTTAATTGTGTTTTTTATGCCCAATGAGCTGTGAGCTGCAGGGGGTGGTGGTGGAGCGAGTGAACAGACCCTTGAGTCACACCTTGAAGCGTTCACAAGTGGATGAGTTGATCCCGGCTCTGAGGCAGAGTCCTGCTGCCTGCCAGGGAGAGCAAAACTCCTCAAATTGAAAAGTGAAACTGACACTAATCATGTCACTTTGTGGGTCTTTCATGGTCGCAGTAATCCCGTTACAGAAAGATTAAGATGTGTCTTCCACTCTGAGCCCCGGCGCTGCTGCAGGCCTTTTTATGCAGGTTTTGTCCATTTTCTTGGTTGAGTGGCTCACCCATGGCACGATGCAGGAAAATAAAGGTGTAAAAAAAGGAATATTGGGCTATTTGTTGAACAAATATGGTACATAATACTAAGCTGTATTATTGAATTTTAACACTGAGCATTTGTTTGTAATTTTTTTTCATTGTTTAATGCTCATTTCAAATCGGAAATTAAAAGTTTTAAAGAAAACCTTCAAAGAGCACGTCATCCACTTTCCCAATGCCGAAAGCAATTACAACTTATGCTGAGATTTAGGCCCTGTCCACACGTAGCCGGGGATCTGCCAAAACGTAGATATTTTTCTACGTTTTGGCCTGTCATCCACATGAAAACGGATCTTTTTAAAAACTCCGGCCAAAGTGAAGATCTGCGTTTTCTCCGTTTTGGGTGTCTGCGTGTGGACAGACAAAACCGGAGTTTTAAGGTCCGCAACGTCACTTTCCGCGACAAAAAAATGCTGACATCACGTGTGCGACCTGTGTTTACACTAGCCGACAGCATGGATGCCCTCAGAGCTGCGCTCGCTTTATCAATTGTCCAAGCGCTTTTTGCTTGTTTGTTTTTGCAAGCGGAATTACTGCTCCTTGCGGAAGACCACAGGTGAAGGACGAGGTTAAGAACGGGGGAAGTGGCGCCGCCTACAGGTCTGGTATGTCCTTAACAACGTATTTATCCGGGTACATGTGGACAGAGTTTATTTTTAAAACAAGGTGGTGTGGATGCAAGTTTTTGGAGAGGCGGATATTCGTTTTTTAAAAAACCCGGCTACGTGTGGACTAGGCCTTATATCAGTGTATACATTACCAACAAGTTAATAAGCAGAAATTTAAGACACAAGTAAAGAGACAAGACTTTAATCACACAACTCCTCTGAATTGATTTACAAAAATCATTTGAATTATTCGAAAATTATCAAAAAGATAAGAGGAAAATCCCTCTTATTTACATACTTTATGTACTTTCGTACATATATTTGTTTCCTTTCTACATAGACTTGTCTGTATTCCTGTGTGCATGGTAATGATTTAGAAATATCCTAATGCCTTTTATCATGTTTTCATTTGTTTTTATAAGCCTTGTTTTCACTTTTCTTTCCTTTGATGTGCTCAAATGTAATTGTTATTTTATGCTGCAATACCTCTGAGACGTCTCGACCAGGCAGTTTACAGATGAGAACATGTTCTCAAACATTTTACCTGATGAAATAAATATTTTAAGAGATGTATTGATCCTGTAATATAGCTTCTATTTATTCATTCTTAATCTGGACACAAAAAATTTACAAATGTTAAAAATAGAAATAATTTGTGTTTTTAAAAGCATAAGGAATCAGTCTTTACTCAGCACTTTCTTCCCTTTACTATTAACATCACGTTTATTCTCCACTGGTGGTGGAACTTAGCATGGCAAGCCAGTCTAAATAAATGTATTATTTAGTCTGGGAATGCTCCAATGAAGGCTCTCAGTTGTGGGGCGGGTTCTACCGTTATCTTTCAAACAATCTCCACATGCTACTGGACAATAAACAACGTGAGGTACTAACAGCAACGGATGTTGGTAAACTAGGCAATCCGCTATTGAACAAAATTAAAATTTGTCTTTTTTTCTAAATAAATGACCTAAATACATCTATCTGCTCCTGATTCTAATAAAGCCCAAGTCCAAATAGTCCAAAACTGATGTAAAAGCCATTTCAAAAAGGCTGTCACCATCTTGTTCCACTCATTTGCATCATCCCGCCCACCTAACCAGTAGAGCGCCTTGATTGGCCCCCAAAGCCGAAAGAACACTGTGATTGGCCCACCACTTTGGATCAATCACAGCACTCTATCGGTTTGAAACCCCAATAGCCAACTGTGATTAGCCCGCCAGAATGCTGCTAGAGGGCAGCAGAGGTTCCAACTGAGCGTTCCTAGACCAAACTTTGCAAAGCAAGAATTGGATCTAGTTCACTAGACTATGTAAAACTGGTATTGGTTTGGGATTCTTCAAACTACCTGGATTAGTTTAGACAGTCACAGTTTGTTGGATAAGTAGTTAAGTCATTAAATTAGTATATGAAATATCTGTCTCAGATTGGACTTTACAGTCTGCCGCAGGTCTGCTGCTGCTCACCTAATTATGCTTTGAACATTTAATACCCACATTGTCATCAATCTGTAGCGGCTGTGCCAGCGTACACTGAACAAAAATATAAATGCAACACTTTTGTTTTTGCTCCCATTTTTCATGAGCTGAACTAAAGCATCTGAAAATGTGTCTACATACATGAAAGACCCATGACTCTCAAATATTGTTCTGAAATCTGTCTACATGTGTGTTAGTGAGCACTTTTCCACCCCATCTCACAGGTGTGGCATATCAAGGGGCTGATTAGACAGTATGAATAATGTACAGGTGTACCTTACACTGCCCACAATAAAAGGCCACCCTGAAATGTGTAGTTTGATCAAACAGCACAATGTTGTGTTTGTGGAAAAAGTTTCAGATGTTTGAGTTCAGTTCATGAAAAATGGGAGCAAAACAAAAGTGTTGCGTTTATATTTTTGTTCAATCTACTGGAGTACATGTTTAGAATTAAGACTTTTTTACAGACTTATGCTGAAATACATCAACAACAACAACAACAACAACAATAATAATAATAATACATATGCACATTTGCATAGAGCTTTCCTAAGTCAGAGTCTTTAAAAAGCTTTACAATACAATAATAGACACACATGCTAGTTTATAAGTAACATTGTAGCCACACAATAAATGCCATTTATTTCCTTTTTTAGTTGCAGTAAATGTTTAAATAATCAGCTGTTTCTGCCTTAATCCACTTATTATTGAATATCAGATTTTGGACCTGGCTCGACTTGATTTTCTATGTAAAACTATAAATTATAACTTAAATTATTATAAACTGACTTAAATGATAATGCATTTTTATTCATATCCAGCGCTAATCTTCAATAATAATGATAATAATAACAATAATAATAATAATAATAATAATAATAATCATCATCATTATTATTATTATTATTATTATTATTATTATTATTATCATCATTATTATTATTATTATTATTAATGGAAGAGCTGCACAGTTGCACAGTGGTTAGAGCTGTTGTCTTGCAGTAAGAAGGTCCTGGGTTCGCTTCCCAGCCTGGGATCTTTCTGCATGGAGTTTGCATGTTCTCCCTGTGCATGCGTGGGTTCTCTCCGGGTACTCCGTCTTCCTCCCACAGTCCAAAAACATGACTGTTAGGTTGATTGGTCTGTCTAAATTTTCCTTAGGTGTGAGTGTGTGCATGGTTGTTTGTCCCGTGTGTCTCTGTGTTGTCCTGCAATAGACTGGCTCTCTGTCCAGGGTGTACCCCGCCTGATTGCCCCTTGGCCACTGGAGATAGGCACCAGCCGCCCCCCCCCCCCCCCCCCCCCCCCCCGGACAGGTGGGTTCAGAAAATGGATGGATGGATTATTAATTGCAATGATGTTCTAATATTTAATGGAAATGGAAAATGAACGCGTGTTTAGTGCGTATCTAACATAGATCAGCAATTATAAAATGTTCCTGTGTATCTCTTAAATTATGATTCTGTTTGGTGTTTTTGAACCTCATAATTATTTCCAGCTCAGATCTTCTTTAAACTT